TATACAGTCTGTATTACTGTAAATACAGTATGAGTTCATATAAAACATACCAAATATTATGTGACATATGAAACCCTTTTCACAACAATTATGCAATACTACTGTACTTACAAACCCTTCCCAACCCTATGAACCCATTTATAGCATGATATGTAATATATTAATAATATTTAGCATAAAAGTGTAATCCGTTTCCGGAAAGCCGTCTTTGATTCAAAATACGCATCAGTTTCATGTGATTAGCCATCGATTTACCATTTGTTGCGTCCATTGGTTAGCAAATTGTGTTATATTTTAATTGTTTGAGTGAATCAACGAAACAAAGTTGTCATCAATGGCTGAACCTATGGCTCGCACTGATTGGGACAGGTATTCATATTTGATGCATACATTTGTGTGTGAAATGACATTTATGTTAATTGTATTCATTTTTATGAATAGGTTTTGCCAACTCATAGGTTTCAATGGTTTGAAGTCGAGGTTTGTGTCATATTTTGTGTCCATTTGTGTGGCAATACATGTGATAATCACTTGTATTCATAGTGTGCGCCAAGAATGGGACCAAAAGGCAAATGGTTTGAGTGAAGAGTTGTCGGCTTTGAAGGCATCGAAATATATGATTGAGACGGAAGTGAAGGCAATGAGGGATCAGATAAAAGACAGCAAAGATATGAGAGTAAAGGATGTGAAAGACGTGAGACAAGCGTTGGTGTTATTGAAGGCGTTAAACGAGACAATCATTTGTGAGAACAAAGAGTTGACTCAAGAGTTGGTGTCTTTGAACATAAGGTTTAAAACTTTTAGTTCACTCATTATTATCTAATAATTGAATTGTTTGTTTCATTTGATGGCATTCAACAGTTGCGCGGACTCTGAGTCTAAATCAGATGGAAATGAAACACAGAATGACTGCGAAGGACAGGACTTCAGGGATGAGTTGAATGCCATTAAGATTAGTGTCGAAAAGGTTGCAATGAATGCGTCAACGGATGAAGTGGTGAATGAGAGCACCGGAAGTGGCGATGAAGTGGTTAACCCATAGACAGTGCATCTATGGGATGGAAAACATGAATATTTTGGCACATCTGCAGAA